AGCTGAAATCTCTCAAAAACAAGTGAAATGAGAACAAATAAATTTTATTACTTCCTTTCTTCCTCTTTTAACAGGATACTGGTCAGAATTTGACACTATTAAAATGTCACACAGAAGCTTCTCTGTCTGGAAGGGTAAACTTCTTCATCTAGTCAGCTGTTTCTGGTTTTGGTTTTTAAGTGATCACCCTCTAGGATCACCTCTACTGCCGCTATCATTATCACCATCATTATGGGAGCCAGAATTTATTATATCCCTCTATTTCAAAGGACATTATTTGTATCAGAACATGTAAATAATCCTGTAATGTTGCTTTCCATTATTTCCACCTGCAAAGACATCTTGGTATACCTTTTATTTGCCTCTTATGGTTACTCCAACCAAAGCACATATCACATTGAATAAAAATAATCTGTTACTGCTGGCCGGGCAGGCACTTTGGGAGGCCAAGATGGGTGGATCATTGAGGCCAGGAGTTTAAGACCAGCCTGGTCAACATGGCAAAACTCTGTCTCTACCAAAAATACAAAAATTAGCTGGGCATGGTGGCAGATGCCAGTAATCCCAGCTACTCAGGAGGCTGAGGCAGGAGAATTACTTGAACCTGGGAGGCAGAGGCTCCAGTGGCTGAGATCACGCCCCTGCATTCCAGCCTCAGCAACTGAGCAAGACTGCCTCAAAAAAAAAAAAAAAATCTGTTTACTGCTAGTGTCTGCATTACACTCTAAGATCCTTAAGGTTTGAAATTTTAGTTTGTCACTTCATCTCCAGAAAGTAGCACAGTATCTGAATATAGCAGACATTCAGTAAATATTTGATAAATGAATGAATGCCAACATCTGTACTCTACAGAATATGTTTTTAAGAACATTTAAAGATAGTTACCTTCCCTAGGTGCAAACAATTAAATATTACAAAATCCAAATGAGGAAAATAACACATGCTCCTGAAAACCGCAAAAGTAGATCAGGAACAAAAGTCTTATTATGGTCTTCAACAAAAATGAGTCTCATAACAAATGAGTCAATTTTCCCTAAGTTAACTTAAAAAGTTTACATTATTCCAATAAAAATATAATTTTTTTCCTTGAGACCAAACAAGTTAATTATAAAGATGTTTTAGAAGAATGACAACCAAGAATAGCCATGAAAGCTGATTTAAAAAATAGCAATGAGGGCCGGGTGCAGTGGCTCACACTTGTAATCCCAGAACTTTGGGAGGTTGAGGCAGGTGGATCACTTGAGGTCAAGAGTTTGAGACAGGCCTGGCCAAAATGACGAAACCCCATCTCTACTAAAAATACAAAAATTAGCCAGGCGTGGTGGCATATGACTGCAGTACCAGTTACTTGGGAGGCTGAGGCATGAGAATCACTTGAACCTGGGAGGCAGAGGCTGCAGTGAGCTGAAATTGTGCCACTGCACTCCAGCCTGGGACTTCAGACTTTGTTGTTTTGTTTTGTTTAAAAAACAAACTTTGGGAGGCAAACAAACAAACTTTGTTTAAAAAACAAAAAAACTTTGTTTAAAAAACAAACTTTGTTTAAAAAACAAAACAAAACAGCAGTAAAGAAGGAACAAGCCCCGTAAGTATTAAAAAGATACTATAAAGCCTATTTTAGTTAAATGAGTGCAGCACTGGAACATGAATAAACAACCCAATGGAACAGAAAAACTAAAACTATATCCCTGTACAAATAAAATTTTCTGCCTGAACACACTGATCAATCTTACTGTGACAATCAAACACCACGATCCCCCTCATATGACACAATTATATGTGCGAAGTATCATGCATAAAATATACTGCCTGTAAAAACTGAATGTAAATTTAATTAACCTCTGTATCTACCACCTTTTTCAATTGGAGAAAAGAGAACTATGAAATAATACCATAAGGATGCAATCAGCCAGCTCCAAAGTATGGAAAATGAAATTTTTTTTTTAACACAATACATGGCATGGAGAGAAAGAGTCTGGGGGAACTTTATAGCTCAAGAGAGATTAAGAGATATATTAACCCAATACAGGTAGATCTTGTTGACATACTAATTTGAAAAAAGCAACCATTTAAAAATATATTTAAGACAATTAGGGAAATTTAAATACAATATTACAATTTGTTAATTTTATACGGTGTGATAACTGCATATGTTGTAAACTAGACCTAAAGCAAGCAGAAAGACAGAAATAATAAAGATTAGAAAGTAAGAAAATAGACAACAGAAAAACAAGAGAGAAAAATCAATAAAACCAAAAGCTAGGTATTTAAAAAAAATGTACAAACTGGATAAAACTTACTTGGACTAACCAAGAAAAAAAGAGAGAAGACTGAAACTGCTACAATCTGAAATGAAAAATGGGACACTACTGAACTCAGAGAAATAAAAAGAATTATAAAGAAAATATGTACAACTGTATGCCAACAAGCTACATAACTTAAATGGAATAGACCAACTTTTAGACACAAACTACCAAAATCGGCATTACTGTACTTCAGCAGAGGCTGAGGGCCATCTGTTGGGGGTATTACTGGAGGGATTCTGAAGGATGGGAATGGTGTATTAATTATCGTCTAATAACTCTCTCAACTACATGGTTCCATGAATTTATATTCTTCTCCATTTGTGGTATGGTATCTGTAATGTGCTGACTACAGAGCCTTGACTTGTTTTGCAGCTGTGTGTGATCACAAAATGTAGATAAAGGTAATCCCATTCCCAGCACTAATAACTGACTCAGATCACAGAAGCAGATACTATACAAGTCAAGATTCTTATAATTTGAACTTGCTTATTACTCAATTTATAAATCTTGCTTGTTCAAATTTCTAAATTATTAATTTCATTTTAAATGCCACAATCCTTGAATCCATGAGTAGCTACCCATATTAAACAGGGACTGTGTATTTACATTCACTTTTATTATACAATTATACATATACCTAGCAGCATGCCTAGCAAGGCATGATTACTTGCAGATTATTATTATTTTTATTTATTTTTTATTTTTTTGAGACAAAGTCTCATTCTGTCACCCAGGCTGAAATGCAGTGGCACAATCTCAGCTCACTGCAATCTCTGCCTCCCAGGTTCAAGTGATTCTCCTGCTTCAGATTCCCAAGTAGCTGGGACTACAGGCACCTGCCACCACGCCCAGCTAATTTTTTTGTATTTTTAGTACAGACAGGGTTTTACCATGTTGGGCAGGCTGGTCCTGAACTCCTGACCTCAGTTGATCTGCCCACCTCAGCCTCCCAAAATGCTGGGATTACAGGTGTGAGCCACCACACCCAGCCAGATTACATCTTAGAGTAGGCAGACTTCTAAGATTGCCCCAGGACCCCAATCTTCTGTTATTCATAACTTTACATAATTCTTTCCTCTTGGACCTACAGAATTGGTTCTAACAGAGAGAATACTATCAAAAACTATGGGATATCACTTTTACGATTTTGTTCTAAAAAACTGTCACTTCTGTCTTAGTGAACAGAGTCCACTGCCTTCTCTGCATATACATTTCAATGAAACATGCTGCCATGATGGAAACAGGGCAAAGGATTGAGGGCAACCTCTGGCCAACAACTAGAGAAGAACTGAGGTCCTCATTCTAACAAACTGAAAGAAACAGAATCCTACGAACAAACATGTGAGGTTAGAGGCATAGCCATCGCCAGTCAAGCTTTAAGATGACTATAGCCCAGCCAACATCTTAACTGCAACCTTAAATTCACTGAAGCAGAAATCCCAAATAAGCTGTGTCCAGATTCCTGACTCACAAAACTGTAATATAAGTTTTAAGTTTGAGCTAAATTTCAGGATAACTTGGTACAAGGTAATTTTTCTATCAAACCTGAAAGAGCAAGGGTTCTGGATGTGCACTTTTGGTCAATCTGTAACCTCTAATGCAGCATTTCTGGTATTTTTCTATCTAATAGCAAGAAATCTTTATCATAGCCTTTTCAAAACTGTAAACTATAGTCAACCTTGTTATCCCCTTCCACAGAGATAATCAGGAAGTGTAACACAAAGTTTTATAATCCCACAAAAGTTGTCTGGAATGCTTTTTACTACTACCCAAGAAGTGTGGCAAAGCTCCTTAATATCACTTCTAAGATGTGTTTTTTTAAAATGATTTCATAGGACACTAGAAGGTATTGTACAATATTTCTGTAGTCAAATAAGTTAAGGAACTACTGAGTTTAACAAAATTATATGTATTCTTTCATTGTAATCCTAACTCAAAATAGCATAAGAACTTCCAGAGCCTGATTATTATACTCTTATAGACTCATCTGCTGTCATATTTATCCTCTTTATATCTAGTCATACTGAATTGCCCCTTTCTTTGCAGAAGTAAAATTCAGCTTCCCCCAAAGTACTTTTTTTAGGGGCTTCATTTTTTTTTTAATCTTTATGGGTACACTATGAAGTACATGAGATATTTTAATACAAGCATATAACGTGTAAAAATCAAATCAGGGTAAATGGAGTACCCCCAAAGTACTTGCTAATTACTCAACTTATAGATGTTAATTATTTACTTGTTCACATTTCTAAATTATTAATTTCATTCTCAACGCCACAATCCTTGTAATCCTAGGACCTGGTTCAATTCCTGTCACAGAAATAGCTACTCAAAATATGCTGGCTGAATATATATGTGAATGACAAAGATACAGTTAGGTACGTATAAAAAACTAAGTTATAATAAAACATTTAATTTTACTCTAATATGATCTTGAAACACATGGTAAATAATATTCTGCCCTAATTGTTAGATTATTTATATAATCTGTGTGACAAACATACAACCCAGCAGAGTAACACTGGTGTAGTAATTAAGTGGTGTAAGTAGGGCACCTGAATTTTTTCCAATACTTCATTTATTGCAAATGTTAATTTGGATTTTCAGAAAAACTGGAGGACACTTTCAGTCAGATATCTAAGTTTATATTACTGCATGTGTTTCACACCAGTAAATGTCAAAAAGGTCACATACCAAATGAAACTGATCCACTTTCGGGATTCCATCTTTATTTATCTCAAACTCCTGATTTTGAACAGAAAGCTGTGAAAGAAAGTAAGAATGAATAAATGTCCTAAGTATTAATATACTGATCTATAGAAGAGTTAACTCTGGAACTTCAGATCCTGGTGACTAGAAAAGAGTTCACTTAAAGAAAGCACATTAACTCTCTTACAGGTAAAAGCACTTTCATTGTAACTACCTGTTCACAAGCAACCAAATGGTTCCTGGGGCTCCTAAAGTACCGATCAGAGGTGATGTACACACTATGAACACCTTAATATTTCTTCACCTTATAAGAAAATGTGTTAAAGCCTGGTAGCCTATATATCATGTTAGCCTCACCAATACTCAAAAATTAGGTACAAAGAAAATAAATCAGGCAAGTTTCTTTCTACCATAATATCTAACCTGTGTTCGAGAAATATAAGCTAAACTTTAAAAAAAGCCTCAGAGATAAGAGGGATGCAAGAAATAAATTAATTAAATTTAACTTAAAAACATGGAGAATTTTTCACATACACAAAGGTACTGAGTCCCACATATTCATCCCCTAGCCCTAACAACCATCAGCCAATGACTACTCTTACCCTATGAACAAATCCATATATATTATCTTTGAGGCAAATCCTATGCATGTCATAATTTCACCTATAAACATGTTAGTACATATCTCTAAGAGACAATCTTATTTTTACACAATCATAAGAAAAATACTTTTATACAAAATACCTAGCTTTCAAAATTTGAGTAATCTCGTATCAAATTAGTTTGCCTTTTTAGTTTATTTAAATCCAAATCCAAGTAAGTTCCACCCATTGCAATTAAAAAATGAGCAGAAGGGCCAAAATGAGATACCACTATACTACTCACTATAATGTCTAAAATTGAAAAGACCATACCAAGTGTTGCTTAGATGTGTTGTACCTAGAACTCACATATATTGCCCAGGAGAATGTAAAGGAAACAATCACTTTGAAAAATATTTGGCAGTTTGTTAAAAGGTTGAACATATTCCTACCCTATGACCCAGCAATTCCACTCCTAGATATTTAGCCAAGAGAAGTGAAAGCATATGTCCACACAAAGACTTGTATGTAAATATTGAAAGAATTTATGTGTAATAGATGAAAAGTAGAAACAACTCAAAGTCCATAAACAATGACAAATGGTGTTTAGAGCATCTTTCACACGCTTACATGCCATGTGGACACCTTCTTTGGTAAAGTGCCTGTTTAAATATTTTGCCCATCTCTGAACTGAGCAGTCTTCTTAGTATTAATCGTAGGAGCTCTTGATAATCTGGATATAATATTTTTGTCAGATGTATGTTTTTCAAATATTTTCTCCTAGTCTGTAACTTGCCTTTCATTTTTGTGACAATGTCTTTGGAAGAGCAAAGTTTTCAATTTTGATGAAATCCAAATGATTTTTTTTCTTTTAGAGTTGATGTTTTCTGTGTCCTCTTAAGAAATCTTTACATTTAGATCTGATATACATTTTGAGTTAATTTTTGTGCATGGTATAAGGAATGAATCAAAATTTATTCTCTACATATGGTATGAGTTGTCTTGTATCATTTTTGTTGAAGAGTCTCCTTTCACTCAGAGAATTGCCTTGGTATCTTTGTCAAAAGTCAGTTATCATGTATGTGTAGTCTATTTATACTGTCTCTATTCTGCTCCATTCATCTGGACATCTAACTTCACAGAAGTATCACTTTTGTTTTTAGAAACAGGGTCCTGCTCTGTAGCCTAGGCTGGGGCACAGTGGAGCAGTCATAGCTTACTGCAGCCTTAAACTCCTGGACTCAAACAATCCTTCTGCCTCAGCCTACCAAGTAGCTAGAACCATAGACACACCACTACACTCAGCTAATTTTTATTTTTTGTAGAGACAGAGGGTTCTCACTGTGTTGCCTAGGCTAGTCTTGAACTCCTGTCCTCAAGCAATCCTCCTGCCTCAGCCTCCCTAAGTGCTGGGATTACAGTCATGAGCCACTCCTCTAGGCCCACACTGTCTTAATTTCCTAGAATCTATTAAGTTATAAAATCAGGTAGTCTGGGTCCTTCAATTTTTTTCTTTTTCAAATGTGTTTTGGCTATATCTCAGATCCTCTCCATTTTCATATTAATTGTAAAATCTAATTGTCAATTTCTGAAAAAATAAGCAAAATCTACTATTTGTTGAAATTGCATCAAATCTATAAACCAACCTGAGAACAACTGATCTCCATACAATGTCTTCTAGTCCATGAGCATGGTGTATCTGTACATTTATTTATGTATTCTTGAGGTTCTCTGAACAATGCTTTGCAGTTTTAATAGCGTGCAACTCTTGCACATCTTTTGCTAAATTTACCCCTAAAAATTCCATATTTTAACACTTTTGTAAATGATTTTTAAATTTTAATTCCTGTTATTTGTGGCCTATATAAAAACACAATTATATTGAAATTAAAACTGCTATCTTTCTAAACTCATTTGTTCTAGTAGCTTTTATGTACATTCTCAAAGATTTTCTACATAATTAAGCATGTCATCTGCAAATAAAGACAGCTTTATTTCTTCATTTTCAAATTCTATGTCTTTTATTTCTTTTTGTGACCTTATTACACTGGGTAGAATAGAAATCAGCAAACTTTATGGCCTCTGCACCAAACTGATTCCACTACGTGTTTCTGTACAGCTGCAAGCCAAGGGTGGTTTTCACATTTTTAAATGTTTCATAGCACATTGAAGCAATACTATTTCATGCACATGCAAACTACATGAAATTCAAATTTCAATATCCATAAATAAAGTACTACTGGAAGAGAACCACACTGATTTGTTTACATACCGTCTATGGCTGCTTTCATGCTGTAGCAGCAGAACTCAGTACTTGCAGCAGAGACCATCCGGCCTTTATAAAAAATGTTTGCGGGCTCATGGGCTGATAAGAACAGTCTTCCTTCTCTTAATACTTAATCCCTCTTAACTCTTGTTTTTTTAACAAGGAGATTATTTTTGTTTATGTGATCAACAAAGATAAGGTTTTGTCACACTCAAGGCTTTGGAAAAAGAGGCACTCTCTATGTAAAACAGCAGTACAAAATGAAATAAGCTTTTTATTTTTTGTCTTCCAACGTTTATCTTAGGTTCAAGGGGTACATGTGCAGGTTTGTCACATGGGTAAACAGTGTGTCATGGGGGTCTGGTGTACAGATAATTTTGTCACCCAGGTAATCAGCCTAACAGGTAGTTTTTCAATCCTTACCTTTCTCCCAACCTCAACCCTCAAGTAGACCCCAACGTCCCTTCTTTGTGTCCCTGTGTACTCAGTTTTTAGCTCCCACTTATAAGTGAGAACATGCAGTATTTGGCTTTCTGATCCAGAGTAAATTCACTTAGGATAATGGCCTCCAGCTCCATCCAACTTCTTAATTCTTAGACCATGGATGAGAAACAGCTATTTGGTTTAGAGTAGAAGCAGGAATATACCCAAGACTCATTTAATATTTATTTTCCACATATGCATGAACTGCTTTCAGATTAATGTAGAACAAAATCATCTTCACTGTTAATCTTGACTTCAACAAAACTAAGACAATAGCATGATACCTAAAATATATATCAAGCCAATTTGTAGAAAGTACACAATAGGTAATAGGAAGCATATCAATAGTTTTTGATAAAACTTAAAGTTCTACTAAAAGTCTGCTGCTTTTTAAGGAGAATCACTATAAAAATCATCACATTATATACATATATACATATATATATATATGATCTATTTCAACAAAAAGTAACATACCCATAATAAAAGGCAGCCATAAGCATATAAGTCTGAACTTGGAGAAGCAGGTTTTCCCATTTTCAACTCAGGTGATATCAAACTCAAGTCACCAACCATCATGTTCACTGAGGCTCGCTGACTCTGCAAAAACAATATTTTAAATATTTTAGATACAACACAATTGAGGTGACTTTCTGTGAAGTACTCTGCATTTAATCAATACAAAAAAAAAACAAATTCATTTTAAATATTTCATTCTCTTGCTTTCAAATATTTTTACCAATTTCTGCTATTATAAATTGCTCTTAAAATCAGTGTTAAAATAATAACTATGGGACTTTTTTTACATTCATTTTGTAGACTTGAACAGATTTAATACTAACAATCACTGATTCTGTGATTAAATATTTGATACTCTTTTTTAAAAATAAATTTCACAAGAGTAAGCAGCAGTACTATGTTCTAATTCTGAAAATTCTAAATAATTCATTTAAGAACTGAAATCCTACAAAGCACTTTCCTTCCTTACTGACCATTCTCTAAATATACCATTTCTAACATGTCAAAGATGATGTGACAATAGCATGAACCCTAGATTCAGGCAGATCTTGGTTACAATTCCCCACTCTCCCATTTATTTGCTGTGTGACCTAGGGCTTTAACCTCTTTTTTGTCCATTTTTAAAATTTATTTTTAATTTTTATGGGTACATAGTAGGTGTAAACCTCTTTGAGCCTAAATTAATTTGTAAAATGGAAATAATGTCTACCTTACAGAGATATAATGTCTAGCAGGTATCACTAAGTGTTAATTATCTTTTTTCTAGCTATGATTTTGATCTTTGCTTCTCAAAGTATGGTCCAAGGGCCAGAAGCTACAGCATTAACTGGTAGCTTGTTAGAAATGCAGATGATCCATTGCAGAAACGCTGAACAGTAATTTGCATTTTAACATGAACCCCAGGTGAGTCATATGCACTATAAGGTGTGAAAAGCAATGATCTTGACCTCAGACTACTTTTCAAATTTATCTTCCTGATGATCACTTCAATCTAAAAATTGCATGGAAAATGTAGCAAAAGGTAAGTTTGATCAATATTTCAGAATAAGTATTTTTAACTGAAGATTAAAAACAATGTTTTGGGGAATAATAATGGGATGAATAAGTATTTAAAGAGAAGAGTAATTATTGTAGTCATATCTACAGTTATGCAAATGGTATGCTCAAAAGGTAAACTAACCAGAATCCCTAAAAGCTGAGATCTTTTAAAATTCATAATTTAGTTATATTTCTTAGGATATCTTAATTTTCAGTTAAACTAATGTAATAAAGTAAATATTTCAGAAAATCAATCTGTATAAATCCTGTACACTCTGTACAATCCAGCTTTTGATTACAGTTGCAGTTTCATTTTCTCATCTTTTTGAGCTACCATATGAAAACCATTAAGACTACATATACTCCAGTAGCATTACCTTATGACTTGCAGATGACCAAAGCATAAAAGCATTATAACATATACTAGTTAAAGGGAATTGCTCAGATAGTAACAGATATTGGCAAGGATGTAGAGAAAACAAAATCCCTATATATTACTGCTAAGAATTTAAAATGATGTAGCCATTTTGGAAAACAGTTTTGCTCCTCAAAAAGTAAAACAATATAACCCAGTTAATTCCACTCCCAAGAGAAATGAAAACATGTCCACACAAAAAAATTGTATGCTAATGCTCATAGCAGCATTATTCATATAACCAATAAGTGTAAACAACCCAAATGTCCAGCAACTGATGAATATATAAACAAAATGTGGTGCAGCCATACAATAAAATATAATTTGGTAACAAAAAAGAATGGCATTCTGAAGCAGTCAACAATGTGGATGAACTGTGAAAACACTATGCTAAGTGAAGTTAGCATAAAAGTCCACGTACTGTATCATTTCATTTACATGAGATGTCCAAATGGGCAAATCCATAGAGACAGAAAGTGTATTAGTGGTTTTCAGGCTTGAGAAGAAGGGGGAAATTTGAGTGACTGCTAATCAGTATGGATTTTCTTTTTGCGAATAATAATGTTCTGGAATTCAATACTGATTATCACTGCACAACTTTGTGAATGTACTACAAACTATTACTGAATTGTATATTTTACATGAATTGTATCTCAATAAAGCTGCTATTTTTAGAAAAATAATTGCTGATTTGGCCACTCCACATTGTATACACACTTCAAAACCTCATGTTGTACATGATATACGCAATTTTTATTTCTCAGTTAAAAGAGTATTGTTCCCATTATAACAACAACAAAAAATCACAACATGCTCTTGTCTGATCTTTGCTATCTCTACAAACTGCCTATTCTGAGGTAATATGACACCAAATTAACAGCCATTAGAGTTGAATCTGGATTTAAACTAAAAAGTCCAAGGTTCCTAAAAAGTCCAAGGTTCCTAAAAATGTACATTATTAATCAAAAAATAGCAAAGTACGTATATGTAAATTGTATCTATAGACAGAGGGACACCAGTGGAGATAGGTTGGGAGATGGCCACCTAGTTTCCTTGCATGTTTCCTAGCAATTAAATGTTTCCTAATGATGATAAAATAATTAATGTTGTCAATGCCATTGAGTATGTAATGTCAGGTAGCTCCTAAGACTTATGGTTAAAATACACAATGAACAAACTTAGAAATTCTTGTTATTCTAGGACCTAGCTGAGAGCAAACAGTTGCTTATACTACATGACACAGTTTAACTGAAGGCAAAGATCCTATAATACAGTATTATATTATATATAAATGCTGAACTACTGCTTAATAATATTAAATAAAGTCTAGAACCTATCTGTAAAACCATGATATCTTACCACAGATTTGGTGAAATCAAAATCTCCAACAATTCCTTGTTCACGGTTTATAGCAAATACGTTGTTCTGATGAAGTGATCCATGAATTATATCAGCCTTATGCAATGTATACAGGCCCTGGGCAACACCTTTCATGACCTTTAAAGCTTCCTATAGATACGTACACACAAAACAAGTGAGGAAGTAGGCAAATCATTTTAATCTTGAAACTTTTCTCTAATTAAAAAACTGCTCTAGAAATGAGTAAAGTTTCCTCCAAATGAATCTTTAATAAGAATACAGCATAGAGAAAGAATTAAAGACCAGATGAAGCCTTGATTTTGTAATGGCGACACTGTGTGTGTGTGTGTGTGTGTGTGTGTGTGTGTGTGGGCACCAGGGACCAGTTTCATGAAAGACAATTTTTCCACGGATGCGGGGGGGTTGGTTTCAGGATCAAATGGTTTCACCTCAGATCACAGGAATTAGATTCTCATAAGGAGTGTGCAACCTAAATCCCTCACATGCACAGTTCACAATAGAGTTTATGCTCCTATGAGAATCTAATGCCTCCACTGATCTCACAGGAAATTGATCTCACAGGCAGTAATGCTTGCTCACCGGCCACTTACTTCCTGCTGTGCCACCCTGTTCTTAATAGGCCACAGATTGGTACCAGTCTGCGACCTGGGGTTTGAGGACACCTGTTCTATTATCTCAAAGAAGACTTGGATTACAAATACCAACCATGTAATGTACCTATAAGAGACTGAAACAGTGTTATTTCATAAGAAGAATCAGGGCCTCCTTCACTGTTATTACTAATCCTAAATTTACAATGATAAAAATAAAAGCTGCCACTTAAGCACTTATAATACCAAGTGCTATATGAGGCAGTTCACATACAGCACAGCTTAGTAGTTATAAGCTTGGGCTTTGGAACCAATTTCGAGTCCCCTCTCTACCTCTGGCTAAGGGACCCTGTGCAAGTCACTTAATCCCTTTAACCCTTTTTCTCATCCATATAATAACTTCTATCACAGGTTTGATGTGACAATTAAATAGAATACCATGAGTCAAAATTTTACGAAGTATATAGCATGTAGTATGCCCTGAATAAATATTAGGTGTTATTTTCTCATTTAATATATCCATGGAAATAAATAGTGCTTTGTACTTACTTCTGAATTTAAAGGCATGCTGGCTTGAACAGTACTCAGGTTTGCCCTAGGGTAGTATGGGACCATCAGGTAAGCCATAGGATCGGACTAAGAAGCAAAACAGAGAATGTGACTCCAAGTTAAAACTTCAACGTATTTTAGCATACATTGATTCTATAGCATAATTTTTGTTTTATGTTAAGGGGAATGAACTGCTGCTCTAAAACCTGGAGTTTAAACTTATTTTAAATAAAATGGTTTCTGCAAGAGATAAGCATAAGAACTTTACCTTACATAAAAACAGGAATATCAATGGTAGTAACCCTGACTCTTCTTCAGCTTCTCTCCAAGCTCTATGGTAGGTGGCTGCTCTCTCAATCACCTTGGCTTCTGTGTCAACATCCACAGAATAGCCCTTGTACCAAAAAAAGAGGCACTGGTAATTCCAAGATGAAAATCTCATTATAATTATACACCATTCCAATTTAAACATAATTCATTAAGTTAAATAAAATCTAATTTTATTTTTTAATTTTATAAGTACTTTTCTATCTTCTTTGAATGCTATAATTTGGAAAAGGAAAGTGTAATTCTACCTGTAGCCTGCTACACATTCTAGAATGTGTAGCAACTAAGGCCAAATTAATTATCTTATTATCATGATTAACAGTTTCCCAGACCAATGAAAAGAAATTCAGGAGCAGAAGATTGTACTGACAACACAGCTGATATTTCAAGGAGAAATGTAGGAAAATGAAGAATTTTAAAAAGATATTGGATGAATATAATAAGTTCACCCAAAAAAAGGAAAGCATATCCTATTAAGGACATATTCTATTTAGGGAAATGAGGGAAACTTTATTGATTTTTTTTCATGTGAGATAAAGCTTTATTTAATGACCTTTTTAAATAATTTTTTTATTATTACTATACTTTAAGTTCTAGGGTACCTGTGCACAACGTGCAAGTTTGTTACATAGTTATAAATATGCCATGTTGGTTTGCTGCACCCATTAACTCGTCATTTACATTAGGTATTTCTCCTAATGCTATCTCTCCCCCTGCCCCCCACCCCACGACAGGCCCCCATGTATGATGTTCCCCGCCCTGCGTCCAGGTGTTCTCATTGTTCAATTGACGGAAACTTTAAAAGTAAAAATTAGCTCTGGCAACCAAACTACAAGCACAATTATCATGCCAGTCAACTTATATACTTTAGAAAACTAACAGTGAGGTTTTTTCTTTCTTGAAATGTAACAAGCACCACTATCCTTTATGCTGCTGAATCTCCCACAAGTAAGAACAATTTAGGCTTACCTTTAACAGAATTATCTGCCCATTAACCTCAGAACATACCAAAGGACGCTTGCTGCTAAGTTCCTTCATGGGCTCAGCATCAAGAAGATCTCGTTCCAAGCTCATTGTAAGGAGGCCACCAGAGTTCTAGGCACAAGTTTTTATGACATTTGAAGAATCCAAACAATCCCAGCACTTAAAAATCATAAACATAATTAGTTACATGCTATTAAATGACTTGGACATATCAACTGTACTGGAAAAACCAATAAAATTAAAATCTTTAAAATTTTGAATTTTCTCCAGTTCCTGGTTCTTAAACTCCTCCTACCCAAAGTGTAATCACCATACATTTAATTGCTGCTATAATTTTAGAACAGATTCAGGAAATGAATAGAATTATTAACCAGATATGCATCCTAGGATCCCTAATGTTTACTTGAAAAACCACTTATGTTTCCTAAAAATACTAAAGTAACAACTGATTGGGAGCAGGGTGAGGAATGAAGGACTATATATTGGGTTAGTGTACACCGCTCAGGTGATGGGTGCACTAAACTCTCAGAAATCACCACTAAAGAACTTATCCATGTAACCACAAAACACCTGTATCCCAAAAACTCTTGAAATAAACATTTTTTAAAAAACAAAAAATAAATAAGGTAAAATAATGACAAAATTGTAGTTGTCAACTGGGAAAGATTAGTCCAAAAATTATGACTACCATGAAGTAATTCTAACACCTCTGCCCCTGTTTGGAGTCCTCAAAAGTGAAAATGGCTTTCAATAACTAATTTTACTAGATATTTCTGCTACTTTTTAAAAGGAATAATTTTTCACACTAAAATATGATCATCAACATTTTAAAGCTAAGTTTTACTGTGGTGCAGTTTCAGTAAGGGGCACTGTAGAATTGTTTTCGGGGTTTTTTCTTAAGTTTTGCCAGTACATTTACGCATTCTACAATATATAATCAACCTACAAAAAATTCCTAAGTATACATTACAGTTAAACATCAGAAAGCCACTAAAGGCTTCCATAAACCATGAGTCAAACCTTTTATAATCTTCTATAATAAAGTAGATCAGCATATTTTTAAATATTAATTTTCAAGTCCTATGTGGCAGTACATACTCATTTGCCCACACTGCGTAAGATAATCGCTAAGTTAGAGGTAAATAGTTGCAAAGAAAACTGCACATCATTTTAAAGTCTAGTCTGGAAAGAGTTTAGAGTAATTATTTAAGTTAGGGAACTTTAATCTTAAATATTTTTTAGAATAAACTCACATGTCTACACAAATATCCCTCTCTGTTCCATATTTAAGCCATTATAATGGACTTAATGACAATCTTAATGAATAGATACCTCATCTAGGCCCTCACCGTAGAAGGCAATATACATGGTAGGACTAACAGATTCTGTCCTGAGAGCCAGTGTTTACTAATCCTGCTCCATATGACCCCTATCTAATATGCTGATCTCCAGCTTTTGAATCCTGCCTGCGTAGAAAACCATACCCACCTCAACATCTCCACTTTAGCCAACCTCTCAGGAATTTTTTCCCAGAATGCTTTAACTTAAAAAACACATTGTGCTCAAATCCCTCATGGCTAGCAATATCTTGTTTTTATCCTAACTCTTGAAGTAGCAGTTAAAATTTTATTTTGTCATTTCAAACAATAAACACCTATAATTCAAATAAGTACACCTATAATTCAAATGAAATGTGCTGAATGAGGATAAGGAAAACAGAAAAATAGATAATGCAATTTAACATAAAAATAAAAATATATACCATGCAAACATTAAAGGGTCATAAGAAAAAGTTCTAATACCCATAAAATATTCATCAGGAATATTTTTATTAAAAAGATACTATAAGTTTAACACTGACACAAATTTAATATTATCACTTTTCAACACTCTCTGCATAGTAGTAATTCTCAAGGGAAACAAAGTTTACCATGTATTTGAGTAACCCTATTTCAGGATGAAGCAGAGGCAGCTCAGGGAACCATTTCTGTGCCAAACTAGTCAGCATCTCCTAAAGTTTTTTAAAAAAAAAAAGTTTTTAACTGTAGATCAATATATATTCAATTTTGACATGTTGCTCTTCAGGAAAATATATCAGCATCTACATTATAACATACCAAGTAAGATACATAATCACTGTTTCTGCCTTCTACTTCAAGAAATAACAAGTGAAAACCAAGACTCACCTTGCGTCTGCTAAAGCAAATTAAATATGACCTGAGAAGGACTCTGTACTTCTATATTTGAGTCCTTGTGGATGAACTGCAACCTAGCTTAACAGGCAGACAAGATTGAAAATCTCACTTAGCAGTATGCACCTATAACAATAGCTGAGTCTTTGCCAGTCCCAGCGGCCATACTTCAACCACCTATCGACTGCTAAGTGTTCAAACTGCGTTCAAATAAGGCAAACGTCAACCTGTAACCAATACAGTTGTTCTTGTACGTTGCTGCCGATTTCTGTAAGTCACTTCCCTTTTTTTGTCTATAAATTTGTTCTAACCACAAAGGCATCCCCAGAGTCTCTCTGAATCTGCTGTGATTTGGCTGTCCAATTTGCAAATTGTTCATTGCTCCTTTAAATTTAAGTTGGCTGAAGTATTTTTTTAACCCATCTAAACTACCATCTTACTAACTGAAGAAAAATTTAATTACCAATTTTAAGCTTTGGATACATACATAAGCACAAATCTTGCAAGGTCAAAGTACTCACCCACTTCCAAACTAAAATGAAAATGTCTGATAATATATCAATTTGAGGCATAAAACTGTCATTATTTCTCAAAATATTAAGAACACAGTGACATTTTAAAATAACAGCTGTTTTGTTAAGAGAAAAATTTTAAAGCCTGAGAGAAAAAATACATAGCTCTACATAAGTAACTTTGAAATAAATGTGAAAATAGAGTATCCTCACAAAAGAAAAGCCACTTATCACATATTTATTAAGCAAAACTTCTAAACACTTGTCAAATCACTGGAAGATAGTTATTTTAACCCAAGGTCAATAAGGTATTTACATATACTCAGATGAATTAGCTAAATAAAGCATGACACATAAAATACCTATTGTTTTCATAGTTTTAGTATTTTTACTTTTTTTTTTTATTTTTTTTTTGAGACAGGGTCTTGCTCTGTTGCCCAGGCTGGAATGCAGCAGCATGATCATAGCTCAATGCAGTCTCAACCTCCTGGGCTCAAGCAATCCTCCTGCCTTAGCCTCCAAAGTAGCTGGGCCTACAGGTACATGACACCATGTACCTAATTGTTGTATTTTTTGTAGAGATGGGGTCTCACCATGTGCCCAGGCTGGTCTCAAACTCCTGGGCTCAAGTGATCCACCCACCTTGGCCTCCCAAAGTGCTGGGACTACAGGTGTCAGCCACCATGCCCGGTCAGTATTTTTACTTTCAAAGTGCTGTTTCTTAACTAACTCCTTCCTGGTAACATCTCCCAAATATAAAATACAATATTCTTCCATTTTAAAGAAAAAATACAATGATTTATTTCCCCAAGCTCACAAAAATCAGTGGTAAAATAGAGACTTAAAAGATGTAACTTCTCCTGCCCCCAAAACCAGGTAGTCTTATTTTGTTACATTCAACTAAATTATGCTGCTCATTAATGTTTACATTGCAACATTATGGGAAAATGATGTTGATATAAATTTTGTGTAAGGAAAAGGTCTTTAGGTTTTATGTTAAACAGAAAAAAGGCAATATGCAAAAGTGTGTCTGTGCTATAATCTCAATTCTAAAAACAAGCAAAAAAAGACTAAGAGAAAGTCAAAAGTTAACAATGATTACTACTGTTACCACTGAGCGGAAATATTACAAGTGATGTTTTTCCTTCATTACAATTTTCAGTTATTTCCACACTGGTACAATGGTCAGAATATTTGGTCATGTGAAATTTATTTCTAAACTTACAAAAATCTTACTAGATCAATATATATATAAACTTTCTACATAATACCTCTAGCCCTGTGATTACAGTCCACCTCATAAAACGGATATTTAAATTCAATTTCTAGAGTAAAATCTAATGTAATACTTCATAGAATCAAATACTTACATATTCCTCCCTCTCATGATAAATTTCCTGAAAAACATTATTGCGCAGCTGAGTTATTTCTTCTTTTATTTTCTCAATTTGAGAGCCATCAGGGTCATCTGACTTGAATCAGAAAGAAAAAGTGTTTTTTATTAACACAGAGAAAACAAGTCTTCCTTTAAGAATTCAAGTTCTGTAGTAAATTACTCTGTGTGGTTTCTATGTATTCTTCAGTACCTAGCACATAAAAGACCCTCCTAATACTTGCTGAATTAACTTAGGTCAATTCATTCTAACAGTGACTTTTCTGAAACCTAGAAAGACGAGTTATAAAAAGTAAAGACATAAAATCAGTTACATAGATTTTTCTTGTCTCTTCTGCTGTAGATTTTCTGTAGGATAAAAATGGCCAACTGCCATTCAAACAAAAGAAATATTAATAATAGCAACCAGAATACACCTGAATTCCCTAGAATTGTCTTCTACATGAGATTTGGTTCAAAACAAAAGGATGAGTTAATGTGTGAACTGTCTCCAGTGATAATACATAAGCCACTTTAAAAAGTATGTAAGCTTTTGTGAAAGGAAAATAAATCTTGGGAACTTTAAATCACTAAGCCAAAGGAAAAAGTCAAGCTGGGAACTGTGTCAGGCAAACCTGCTTCCCATTTTATTCCTAAATAAGATAGCTACAAATATAAAAACCCTGCATACCTTCCTCACAACTCAGTAGGAAATCCCTTATGGATCCCAGGATCTTTACCCTAAAACAGTTCTGTTGAATTTTACTCTGACAATGTAAATTGATAGCTTATTTTCTTAGGTGCAGGGCAAAGGACATCCTTTTGCTCACCTGAGATAAATGCATAACTGATTCCTTCCTCTGATGTAAAAATGCAGATTCACTGAGCTAGCGACTATTCCTCTACCCTTCTCTCAAATTTAAATTGTGTATTTGCTGAAAGGTGATCAAAGACTAAAGAATTCAAACCATCTGTCTCTTATCTACCCATATCTTTTTAAAATTTCTTCCTCTTTCCCCAGTATCCATTCTTTCTCCTTTAAATACTGAAGCCCTCACAACCATCTCTCAGAAAAGCACAGACCTGCCTCCCAGGCATGCATCCTTAACCTTGGCAAAATAAACTTTCTAAATTGATTGATAGCTGTCTCAGACACTTTTGGTTTACACTTTAAAAGTCAGATTTCAAGGATCCGGATACTAAGATGGCCAAACAGGAACAGCTCTGGTCTGCAGCTCCCAATCAGATCTACGGAGAAGGCAGGTGATTTCTGCATTTTGAGCTGAGGTACCCAGCTCATGTCATTGGGACTAGTTAGACAGTGGCTGCAGCCCACAGGGGGTAAGCGAAAGCAGGGTGGGGCGTCACCTCACCCAGGAAGCATAAGGGGTTGGGGAACTCCCTCTCCTAGCCAAGGGAAGCTGTGAGGGACTGTGCCATGAGGAACGGTTCATTCTGGCCCAGATACTACGCTTTTCCAATAGTCTTCACAACCCACAGACCAGGAGATTCCCTCAGGTGCATACACCACCAGGGCCTTCGGTTTCAAGCACAAAACCGGGCAGACATTTGGGCAGACACTGAGCTAGCTGCAGGAATTTTTTTTCATACCCCACTGGTGCCTGGAACACCAACCAGCGAGACAGAACCGTTCACTCCCCTGAAAAGGAGGCTGAAGCCAGGGAACCAAGTGGCCCTGCTCAGCAGATCTCACGTGGAGCCCAGCAAGCTAAGATCCACTAGCTTGAAATTCTCACTGCCAGAACGGCAGTCTGAAGTCAACCTGGTTGGGGGAGGGGCATCTGCCATTACGGAGGCTTGAGTAGGCAGTTTTCCCCTCACAGTGTAAACAAAGCCACCAGGAAGTTTGGACTCAGTAGAGTCTGTAGCCAGACTGCGTCTCTAGATTCCTCCTCTCTGGGCAGGGCATCTCTGAAAGAAAGACGGAAGCCCCAGTCAGGGGCTTATGGATAAAACTCCCATCTTCCTGGGACAGAGCACCTGGGGGAAGAAGCGGCCGTAAGTTCAGCTTCAGCAGATGTAAATGTTCCTGCCTGCCAGACCTCGAGCTCTGCTAAGGGACAGACTGCCTCCTCAAGTGAGTCCCTGACCCCCATGCCTCCTGAGAGGAAGATACCTCTCAGCAGGGGTTGACAGACACCTCATACAGGAGAGCTCTGGCTAGCATCTGGCAGGTGCTCCTCTGGCATGAAGCTTCCAGAGGAAAGAACAGGCAGTAATCTTTGTTGTTCTGCAGCCTCCACTGGTGATACCCTGGCAAACAGGGTCTGGAGTGAACTTCCAGCAAACTCCAGCAAACCTGCAGCAGAGGGGCCTGACTCTTAGAAGGAAAACTAACAAACAGAATTGCATTGACAGAAACAAAAAGGATGTCCACATAAAAATAACACATTCAAAGGTCACCAACATCAAAAACCAAAGGTCGATAAATCCAACAAGGTAGATAATCCAAGAAGATGAGGAAAAACCAGCACAAAAAGGGTGAAAATTCCAAAAACCAGAACCTCTTTTCTCCTCCAAAGGATCACAACTCCTCACCAGCAAGGGAACAAAACTGGATGGAGAATGAGTTTGATGAATTGACAGAAGTAGGCTTCAGAACGTGGGTAATAACAAACTCTTCTGAGCTAAAGGAGCATGTTCTAACCCAATGCAAGGAAGCTAAGAACCTTGAAAAAAGGTTAGATGAATTGCTAACTAGAATAACTAGTTTAGAGAAGAACATAAATGACCTCAAGGAGCTGAAAAACACAGCATGAGAACTTCATGAAGCCTACAGAAGTATGAATAGCCAAATCAATCAATCAGAAGAAAGGACATCAGAAACTGAAGATCAACTTAATGAAATAAAGCATGAAGACAAGATTAAAGAAAAAAAAATGAAAAGGAACAAAGCCTCGAACAAATATGCGACTATGTGAAAAGACCAAACCTACGTTTGACTGGTGTACCTGGAAGTGACAGGGAGAATGGAACCAAGTTGGAAAATATACTTAAGGATATTATCCAGGAGAACTTCCCCTACCTAGCAGGACAGGCCAATATTAAAATTCAGGAAATACAGGGAACACCAAAAAGCTACTCCTCAAGAACAGCAACCCCAACACACATAATTGTCAGATTCACCAAGGTTGAAATGAAGGAAAAAATATTAAGGGGAGCCAGAGAGAAAGGTCGGGTTATCCACAAAGGGAAGCCCATCAGACTAACAGCAGTTTCTCTGCAGAAACCCTAAAAAGCCAGAAGCGTGTGGGAGCCAATATTCAATATTCTTAAAGAAAATAATTTTCAACCCAGAATTTCATATCCAGCCAAAGTAAGCTTCACAAGCAAAGGAGAAATAAAATCCTTTACAGACAAGCAAATGCTGAGAGATTTTGTCACAATCAGACCTGCCTTACAAGAGCTCCTGAAGGAAGCACTAAATATGGAAAGGAACAACTGGTTCCAGCCAACGCAAAAACATACCAAATTGTAAAGACCATCAACACCATGAAGAAACTGCATCAACTAATGGGCAAAATAACCAGTTAGTATCATAATGACAGGATCAAATTCACAAATAACAATATTGACCTGAAACGTACACAGGTGAAATGCCCCAATTAAAACACAGAGAGTGGCAAATTGGATAAAGAGTCAAGATCCATCAGTGTGCTATATTAAGGAGACCCATCTCACATGCAAAGACACACATAGGCTCAAAATACAGGGATGGAGGAATATTTACCAAGCAAATGGAAAGCAAAAAAAAGCAGGCATTGCAATGCTAGTATCTGATAAAACAGACTTTAAACCAATAAATATCATAAATAAATAAATAAATAAAGGCATCACATAATGGTAAAGGGATCAGTGCAACAAGAAGAGTTAACTATCCTAAATATATATGCACCCAATACAGGAGCACCCAGATTCATAAAGCAAGTTCTTATAGACCTACAAAGAGACTAAGACTCCCACACAATAATAATGGGAGACTTTAACACCCCACTGTCAATATTAGACATACCAATGAGATGGAAAATTAACAAGGATATTCAGGACTTGAACTCAGCTCTGGACCAAG